TTCAGTCTATGGATGGTACAGGTGGCATTTTAATATGAGACACTGGCATTAATTCACTTCTGTCCTTCTCCTACACTCCATAGAGACTGAAATGGCACATGTGTATTATTATTTTTAACTTTACACAGAAGTCTCCTTATTTAAACCTATTAAATCCAGTTCTTCTCACAGCCTCCTCAAACACTTTACTTTCCCTAAACTGGGATTTCAAAAGCTTTTGCAGGAAAAGTCATTGAGAATTTTCTCACTTGCAAAAGATTCTTTTAAAGATTTTGTTTGAGATTAATTCTTTAAAAATTCAGAATAATCCAATAAAAACATCTTGAAACCATTTTAGCAGGTTGGTTAAAGTTTTCTGATAACTTTTAATGTAATTATACATTTGATGAAGTCTAGATCACTTCCTGTTTATACAAATTGCAGTGCTTCCTTGAGCAGTTTTGAAGCCAAAGTATGTTTCGTTATTGTCAATTTATGTGGAGTGGATAACAGTTAATTATATGATCGTGTTGTTTACCAAATCTGTCCGCTAATCTCGAAACAAAACACGTTTTCTCTCCAGCTGAGGCTCTGGTTGCCAAGCAGAGGGCGGTAAATTGATGTCCACTTCTGCATCATTAAGGCATAATTTGTGTTAACCTAAAAAGACTCAGTAGCAGCATGTTTGTGCCGGGACATCTTGTTTTAAAATTAAATTGTGTGAAGGTGCAATAATTTGGTTGATGAATTATTCAAATAAACAAGATGCTAACACCATATAACACCTGATGCTAAAGCTACGCACTGAGAGTCTTAAAGGGAAATAAAGCATTTAATTAAATAGCTTTGTCTCATTGTATCGAGTCATGACTACATGTCCACAAAGACACTTACAAGCAATATGTTTTAATTTACTGTTTGTTATACTAAGCCCAACATATAGATGAAATATGATAGTCATATGTTGTTAGCCTCAACAATCAGTCGCCTTATCCCGTCAATCTGTTCCACCCTTATGTTCATTACACAGATGACATAACTGTTTCAGTGTGGAGGTAATATCAGATGTGTTTGAGAGACCTGTTCACTCTTATTACATGTAGCAGAGCACTTTTATTTCAGAGCTTCAACACTTGCATCCCTGTTCTCAAAGCTAGCCTAGCCTACTCTTTATGTAACGTTTGTGGTTTGCTCTTTCCTGATTGATGTCTGACAGGGCCACAAGGGATTTATCAGAATTGTTTTCATTATTTTAGAGGATTTAAAGCAGCCAATATGTTGATGTCTGTCTCGCTCTCTTTGGCTCCGCCTGTGACAGTCAGCAGTAACTCTAGACCCACTTTTGAAACTGTAGAAACATACACAGTACAAAACATTGGGTGTATGTGTTTTCAGACCTTTGTTTTAGCTGAGTTTATGAATTTTAGTGGACCATCCACTGTTGGGTAATAGAAAATGTGTCATTAAAGGCAGGGTTGGTCATTTTTGAAAACTAGCTTGATTTGAAAGTAGCTACCTTGCGGCAGACATTGGTTAAAGTTTTAACATGCTTACAACTGCTACAGATGATGAATTTTCTTAGTTCCTTTTTCAGAGCACATGTGATGAAACTCACGTCTGTCAAGACAATTTCAACCAAAATCTTAAAAAGTGTATCTGGAGAATGTTACCAACCTTTACTGCCTTTAACTGTGCACAGTCTGGAAAACCTCTAAAGGGAGGCGTCCAGGAGGTATCCTTAACAGATGCCCAAACTACCTCAACTGGCTCCTTTTGATGTGGAGGAGCAGCGGCTCTACTCTGAGCTCCCCCCGAATGTCCGAGCTCCTCACCCTATCTCTAAGGCTGAGCCCAGCCACCCTCCGGAGGAGACTCATTTCGGCCGCTTGAATCCGCGATCTCATTCTTTCGGTCACTACCCATAGCTCATGACCATAGATGAGGGTTGGAATGTAGATCGACCGGTAAATCTAGAGCTTTGCCTTCAGGCTCAGCTCCCTCTTCGCCACAACGGTCCGGCACAACGCTTGCATTACTGCTGCCGCCGAGCCAATCCGTCTGTCAATCTCACGCTCCATCCTACCCTCACTTGTGAACAAGACCCCGAGATACTTGAACTCCTCCACTTGGGGCAAGGACTCACTCCCCACCTGGAGAGAGCAATCCACCTTTTTCCGGCAGAGAACCATGGCCTTGTACTTGGAGGTGCTAACCCTCATCCCAGCCGCTTCGCACTCGGCTGCAAACCGCCCCAATGCCTGCTGGAGGTCCCAGCTTGAGGAAGCCAACAAAACCATGTCATCTGCAAAAAGCAGAGATGAGATTTTGAGATTTTGAAGTTCTTCCGGAGGTGGGAATTGAAGACCCCACAAACAGGGGCCTCTGCCAGACATTCCCAGTTCACCCGCACTATACATTTGGGTTTGCCAGGTCTGTCCGGCAGCCTTCCCCGCCATCTGATCCAACTCACCACCAGGTGGTGATCAGTTGACAGCTCTGCTCCTCTCTTTTCCCGAGTGTCCAAAACATACGGCCGCATATCTGACGAAACAACTACAAAGTCGATCATCGATCTTTGGCCTAGGGTGCTCTGGTACTAGCTACACTTATGAACATCCCTATGCTTGAACATGATGTTTGTTATGGCCAATCCATGACTAGCACAGAAGTCCAACAACAAAACACCACTCCGGTTCAGATCGGGCAGGCCGTTCCTCCCAATCACTCCCCTCCAGGTGTCCCCATCGTCGCCCACATGAGCGTTGAAGTCCCCCAGTAGAACAACAGAGTCCCCAGGCAGAACCCCTTCCAAGACCCCACCCAGAGACTCCAAGAAGGCTGTGTACTCTGAGCTGCTGTTAGGTGCATACGCACATACAACAGTCAGAGCCTGCCTCTCTGCAATCTGAAGTCGCAGAGAGGTGACCCTCTCGTTCACCAGGGAAAACTCCAACACAGCGGCGCTCAGCCGGGGGCTTGGGAGTATCCCCACACTCGCCCGGCGCCTCTCACCCTGGGCAACTCCAGAAAAAGAGAGAATCCAGCCCCTCTCCAGGAGTTTGGTTCCAGAACCGACGCTGTGCATAGAGGCGAGCCCAACTATGTCTAGTTGGTAGCGCTCCACCTCCCACACCAGCTCCTTCCCTGCCAGAGAGGTGATGTTCCACATCCCTAGAGCCAGTCTGCACTGCCAGGAATCAGAATGCCCAGGCCTCCGCCTACGCCTGCTACCCAGCTGCATGCACTCTTGCCTCTCCCTGCGGGTGGTGAGCCTACAGGGCGGCGGCTCCATGTGGTTGTTTCGGGCTGAGCCAGACCAGGCCCCATGGAGGAAAGCCCGGCCACCAGATGCTCGCCTTCGTGCTCCACCCCTGGCTCTGGCTCCAGGGGGGTTCCCCCGGTTTCCCTCTTCCAGGCGAGGTGGCTTGCTTCAATGTATGCCGCCTCATAGGGGTATTTGTTGAACCGCTCTTAGTCTGGCCCCTCCCCTGGGACCACTTTGCCTTGGGAGACCCTACCAGAGACTAGTGCCCCCGACAACACAGCTCCCGGGTTCACTGGGACACGCAAAATCATCAACCGCATTAAGGTGGCGATAATATTCACTTATTTAGTATTTAGTAGGATTAGTACTCACTTATTATTAAGTTCCTTTTTTTGCAATAGAGATAACTGATATTCATTTAAAATAAACTCTTCAAGATTATTACCTTTAAAAATAACCTTGAAGTTCTGATAAAGAAGCATACACGGCTCTACTTTCTTACCAAACCTGTGAAGTAGCTCTGACAGTGTATGTGAGAAATCCCCCTCAGGGACTGACGAGGTTCAAAGAGAAACTCAAGCTGTCCTTAAGCCAACTGCACAGACGTGAGGATAATACAAATGGATGAAACTGCAAGGAGTTATACATTTTTTATTCAACCCTCAGCAACTATGGCATACAGATAGCTTTTGTGGACCTGGAATACTAACATGTGAAAACAGGGATTAGGCTCTTAAAATGTGAAATTTTACGGCTATTTGTTGTAATTTACATCTGTAGATGTAAGGATTACAGTTCCCCCCTTATTGATACAAACGCATAGCTACAATTTATTTGTGATCCAAACCCACCTTTCGTCAGCATTCGCATAAGATTGTTTATGTCACTTGATAAGTCATGATATCTACAAAACCTGGATAAAACCTGTATTCCATGGAGATGTACCTTAACTTTTCCATAACAACAACATCCCAACTTTTACACTTGAACTAAACTACATCAAATCATTGACTTGTCAGATCTAAATCTTTACACTCGGGTTTGTTTATGTGTCTTACAGGGACTATGAACTACACATCGATCGATTCCAGGCTGATTGACTGTGTAACATGAGTCCAATCTGGCGCCATTTATTTCTTTATCCAGAAAATATTTTAAAACATTTTCTCAGAGTTATATCCCAACAATGTGGTTAGAAGGATAAACACCCAAACACTCTGTTTTGTTTTTGGTACATTAGGAGGACAATGCATTGAGTACATTCATTCCATGGAGATTTGCTCTGATTATAATCATGAAGTCTTGAGTACATAAACTCAACTTTATCTAAACATTGCCTTGATATATTTCGAGCCTTAACCTGTAATTCGATGTGAAAACCTTTTGGGAACTTTATATGGGGGCCCCACAATTATATATTTATAAGTACATTATAAAAACTGTATAAATATGACGTCAACCAATTGGAGTTAGAAAAATGGTTTTGCCAAATACTGTATATAAAAAATTGTAACTCAAAGTTGCAATTTTTCATACATCCTGGTTCCCTGTTGGTTAAGAATATTTCTGTTTAAACACAATGTCTCTGGTTTGATTCTGGCTTGACCCTGCAGATGCATGTCAAATCTCTTTTTGTGCATGTTATCGTTCTAGATCTGCACAAAACATACTGCAATTAAGTCTGTTTGATACATTGGTAAAAAGCAACAACTTGTAGTAACTAAAGATGGAGTAAGTAATTATTTTGCAGAGCTACCTTGCACTTCCGTCCATCCACTGTCTCCTCATCAAACTCTTCACCGATGTGGAAGTTGATTTCGGTGGTGCGAACAGTGGTGGATGTTTTGATGTAGAACTTCTCCCCATCCTGACGGATCTCCACGTGGGGGTTGGAGGCCGCTGCTACAGCCACCTTCCTCAGCATGGTGTTCACTCCTAACCAGGTATAACCCGGACAAACAAGAGGGAGAGAGATTAATTTGGACATTTCATTTGTAGTTACTAGGATTATTAATCACCTCATTATACAAATTTACTAAAAAATATTCTTCATGAAAGTTGAGGGTCACTGATCATTGTCCTTGATACTAGTACAATATGTTGGCTTTTGTGGCATTTTGTCCATTTCTTTTAAGTCTGTAGATGAAATGAGCCAATACTTATTTCTGTTATGATCTGTTTTTACAAGTTTATTTTGGGGCTTTTTATGGCTCTATTTTATAGATAAGACAGTGGATAGAGTTGGAAATTGGGTAGAGAAAGACAGTGGGGAATCACAGAAGGATAAGGAGCTACAGGTCGGATTCAAACTCAGGCCACACACTTGGAGGACTAATTGTTTATCAGCAGTTCTATTTCATGGACAGCCAAGACGTTAAGGAAAATTGTAGGGGGAAAATGCTTTATATGTGGAAATGCAGTTCTTTTGTTTTTGTTTAAAAAAAAAATAGTACATGTATGATTAATATAACAAGAAAAAAATGTCATATCTTTTCAATTGATTACATATGGACTTTTTTGCTCTGTTGGTGCAAAATTTTGCACTGAAACATCTTCCAGTACGTTCCTTTGTCTCTTTTATTCTGCCTTACCCCAAGACCCCACCCAGATTTAGACCTCTCCAGGCCCTCATGCCAGACTCTATCAGACTCTGGACCTTAAATACGGGGGCTCCTGCTGGCTGCATGTCTCCTTGTATTTCTTTGTAAATGGGCGAACCAGAACATCTCCCAAGCTTACATTTTAACAAAGAATGACAGAAATGTTTTGAAAAAAAACCCTCATAATAAATCCTTTGTGGCTCTGACAGAAGCCTCAGCTATTTGTCAACATTGAGAGAAATCTGTGGAATTTTGGCACTAAACATTGTATGAGGGATCATTTTGCAATGTCCAGAGGAATAAAACAAACCCTTAAGGTTGGTCAGTGCTGGCTTGTCTTTTGTCTGTTGGTTGTATGAGAGGTGATTCTGCAAGTGGTACTTCCCAAGTGTGTGTCAACACTTGCCAGACACACCCAGTTTGACTCCTAGAGGACATCTGGTTTCACGTCATGCCAGAGTCCTGGATTTGTATCTTAGTTTCTTCCACCACTGGAATTATTTGAGAAAGACTTCATCTTATAACAAGATTAAGTATTTATTTTTGGCAGATTTTCCTCTGTCTGCAATTGGTTTTGAGACTTCCCCCTCATCTAAAACCACCAGAGAGTTGTTTGGTCAACACCCATGCAGAAAAACATCGATATGACAGCTCACACCCGACCCCACCCTTGATCTGAGGGATCACGCCATGTGTTTTTATAGCATTAAATATGTATGAGCATCGGTGAGCCAACTGTCTGTACTAATTTCTGGATATTTGACATGTTTTCAATTTTTTATTTTTGCATTTTAATTGTCAGACATTGTTTGTACGACTTGCACATCCAAAGCAATGGAAAAAGGACACTAAGCCCACGTTTCTGGACCTTTTTGACCAAGGACAATGTAGCCAGATGTCCTGGCTGAACTGTCATTCAGCATAATTAAAAGACTGGGCATTCTACTGATTCTATTCCTCCAATTCAGATTTGCGCACTTCATTTTTCCACTTCTAAACTTGACTATCAATGCAGTTCTCGAACAGCGCAGGGTTTTTACATTCTTTGACCTCAATTAGCAAACTCTGATCCTGATCAATTTGTACAACTGAGTTCACTCAGCATGTTGCTCTGTTATTTGTAGCCTGATTATAACAGTCCCCTCCGACTGAAGGGAAACCTACGATCGTTATTCAGATGTTGATGGAAAGTGGCGGCCCTGCAGAACCAGAATTCACAGCAGTTGCACATTGCAGCTGTCCAATAATATGACTGAAACCTTATGTAAGGTTGAATAAGTGATTATCTATAGGGCATACCTAATGTGCTCAGAAACGGTTGAGGTTCTGAACTGATCTCTTCTTGGACTCGGAGACCTTGCACCCAAGCAAATATTAGAAAGGAGAGTGTTTAATTTTTATCCAAAGCATCCTTTTATTAAAAATATCTTTTGACACTGGAACAGAAGTGAGTCTTCATTTGAGTCATTTTAAATGACTTAAACAGTAAATGTAGGGGTGCCGGTGGCGCAGTGGTTAGTACGTGCACCCCATGTATGGAGGCTGTAGTCCTATAAGAAGGTGGCCCAGGCTTGAATCTGACCTGTGGCTCTTCTCCTGCATGTCGTTCCCCACTTTCTCTCTCACTCCCTGAATTTACGTCAAATTTTTACGACAATTTATTTTTCAACAAATCTTTAAAAAAACAACCAAAAAAAGAGTAAATGTTTTTGAGGATGGACTGTGACAGCTTCTTCATTGATTTGTTAATGTAAATTAACTGTAAACTATAAGATTAGGGCAAAAATTATGCAAAGCCAGAAATGACCAATTCATTTCAAAGCAAAAATATTCAGACTGAAGACAATTTCTTTTTACCACAGGTAGAAAAATTTTAATTGGGGTGAATTTAATCTTTAGGTGTCCTAAAACAGCAGAGCACTGTTTTGTTGGTTAACCACACAGCAGTACATAGTGCAGTTTGGGGACTATATTCACCCGTAGATTAACACACAACTGGTATCTATGGCTGCAAAAAATGTATTTGGCATATATTCAAAATTACAGTGTCCAGGTATAACATTGAGACTATGAGAATGAAATATTAGAGAGGTGTAAAAATTGAGTTTTTAACCACAAATGGGGAGTGCAAAGCTGCACTAAGAAATCTTTCATGTGCAAAAGCCTATGCACTGCAGTGAAGCACAACTAATCTATTAATTGTTTAAGCTTTTCAAGAACAATACTTTCTCTTTCAACACTAATATTGTACGTAAACAGGGAGAATTTGTGTGTAAAAAGTTTTAATTGTTATCCAATTTTATGTCAGCAGTTCCTAAGTGTTTGAAGCAGCTCTCTGCACTCACAGTCTCCCGAAAGATTTCTACATTATTCTAAAGACAGCCAGCCTTTGGCTGTGCCCTCTGTCTGTCAGAAGTGCCGGCGTGACCAAACGCTGTAACACAATTGAATGACCCAGTTAAACTGGTCCAAATCTAAACCATCACAATCATCAGTTAAGACTAAAAACGGCGAGAAAGAATGAAAAAGATAGGACACAAGAGAATAGCACCAGGCTCCAGAGACCTCCCCTGGCATTGCTAATGCATGCCCTACTTAAATGCTTAACATGAATAATGTTGTGCCCCCCTCCTCTATTCATGCAACAATACCACGTCTGTTTAGGCAGGAATTCAGCATCCAGTGTTTCATATCTCCTGTAAAGCCGAGGGATTTCCCTTCGGCGGCATCTCACTGTGGATCTCTGCTTTCTTTTCCCAGAGAGCTTCATTGAAAAACAAAACCATGTTGTTGGAAGTCGGGCATGCCAGTCTCAAAGAACAAGAAAAGCCTTTTTCTATATGGACATGATGGATAGTCAACCTCACGCAGGGAGGGATGTAGAGGAGAGAGGAGAGGGAGAGAGAAAAGAGGCAGGAGAGGGCTTACCCAAGGCTTTGAGAAGTTCATCAAAATTCTCACTCTTCTTCATCTTCCAGGTGCCGGCAAAGTTAGGCATGTCTGCAGAGGCTGAGTGAGGGCTGCAGAAAGAAGAACCTGTTCCACACTGTGATGCCTGTCCTCTTCCCTGTGTCTCTCTCTGACTCTTTCTCACCCTCCTCTTCCTTCCCTGTGCTCCTCTCTCAGCCTCTTGTTCACCCTGTTACACCCAACTGATTCTCAGGTTGTCTTTATACCTTTTATTTTTCTTCTCACACACTCTTGCTGCGGCTGTGTGTCTCAGTGTGCCGGCTGCAATCTTGTCTCGGGCTCCTTTATAGCTACTGTCTTAAATGGGAGTCAGAGGAGGTCCCTCCCCCTGAAAGCTCTGTCCCATTAATACAGTAAAGCAAAACTGACATGTCTGCTTTCTCTAGGGATCAAAGAAACTAAATGGATTCTTTTGGAGAGACTATTTTTAGAGCTTTAGTTTGTTAATATCTTGATTTTGAAAATCTATAAATGTCAAGAAAGCCTTTCATGAATGTTAATTTTTGCCAAGATTGTTCCCTTTTTTAAGCATAGCAGAATACATAGGGAAAAAAATAGTTCAGGTCATTTGTGTTATTTTATCATGTTAACATATTTAGATAAGTATTGGTTTTGTACTGCTGACAAAAAAAAGGCACGGTTTAAACTTTGAGTAAATGACGGCGCAACACTAATCCTGAAGCACAAACATGCAAGTGGACCTTCTTACACCATTAACAAATCATAATGGGTGTCTATTTTTGAGATTTTTTGGGCCTCAAAGGGGGAGTCGTGTACATAACTATTATATTTTATATGAGTGATTATGTAAGGGAAAGAAAATAGTTATCATTGCCTACCCTGAGCGTATCTTTTAGATCTTAGTTTAATGCTGATTAAATAGTTGGTATACCCTTTGGTCAAACTTTTAACAGTTCTTCCTCAAACCAAAAACATGGACAATGGCCATAAAGAGGAATAGTCCAGCAATACTTGTTGTACGACAATCCACTTTATTAACAAATTAGACCCAGCGTTTCTAATTTGTTAGAAACAAAGTTTTCACAAACCGTAACGCGTCACTCTAATTTGTTAATAAAGTTGCTCTTCATACTACAAGTGTTGCTGGAGCTTTTTGACCTCTTCTGAGCCTTTCACTCGTCATGCACCTTGGTAGTTGGTGAAGTTGTGCCAGAAAATCCTCTGCTTTTCCAAAAAAGGAAATAGGAAATTGTCAATTTATTTTCTACAGATTATTAATGTATATATCTTTTGTATTGTATCAATTATGTATTATTGGTGTGATCAGGAGTTTTTCCGTTTTCAACTTCATGACCAATTGAAAATGGACAATTTAAAATATGACCTTTTTTTCGAGACAGTATCACAATAAGCAGAAGTTCATTATGTCACATGTATTCTTCCCCGTCGTTTGTTAACCAGACTTGCTGAGAAGTCGGCGGCTAAATGACGACAACATGAAAGTGAACCTTCCCTGTCATTCATTAAGTTATATGATCCCACTACAACACAACTTAGACAATGTGGAAAATGGTTTGTATGCATTAATGTATCGAGCCTCAACACTCAAAAACATCTGTTAGTGGTCAGACATTTTATCATTTGTTCAATTAAATTCAACCATCCCGTCATGTTTGAGTCGGTTGCTGCATCAATAGGCCAAAAGCTGGATAATGACAATTACATAAGGAGTTGACTCTGTTAAAGACTTTCAAAGTTTAAGTCCATGTTTGTGTCAAATTGTGTGGAAATGACAGAGCAGGGACAGACGTTAGTTATTTCTTTACATGTCAAGACTTTTAAACATTTGATAAGTGTTCAAAAGAGAGATTTTACAGGATAAAGCTTTGACTGTGACTTTGTAGTTCTAGCAATCATCTTATCTTTATCTCGGTCTTATAACTTTACTTTATAGTAAAGCCTCACCAAGCAGGATAATTACATATATATATATATATATATATATAGATGCTTGAATGATTTATGTTGTTCCTCTCTGAGAGCGCTCCATTTCGTCCCATCAAAGGTAATGACATCAGATGCATGTCTTTCTTTTTAGCACGCAGCAGCTAATGCCATAACATAGGGTTCATTACCCTCCTCCATCATTAATGCCCTGAAAACATGAATGAATCACTTGGCTGAAAATAGCAGCACTACCATCATTACGGCCTGCAGGACCAACAAAAGAGAAACATACAAGTGGCTGAAAAAGTCATTATTGATTCCATTTGAGGCTGGAGAGCTGAATCCAGACGTTATGAATTATTTGGACTATTCTGAAGGTGGAACGTAACTCTGCTCTGCCCGTAAAGTGGATTTTTCTCCCCTAAAATTATGAACGAAACCAAGTAGATATAATGATCTTAGAAGCAATGTTTAAAAAAAATCAAATAAGTCACTCAGTCCATTGTTGGAATAATACATACACGTCTGCAGTTCAGTAGTGGTTATTATGTTCACTTATTAAAAGAAGCAGCTTCTTTTGGATGTGACAGCCACAAGAAAGCAGAAAAAGTTGCTGACACTTAACTGTATAAGTTGCTTTATTGAGCTCTTACAAGGATTATGCATTGCAGAAAGTCCTGATACATCTATGGTGAAACAGGTTGAATTCCATTTCTTGCTTGCAGGGCACCCTTGAGGGCACTTCATGCCATTTTCTCCTCAGCAGAAGAAACCTGCAGGCCGCACGTTTTCTTCACTGGGAGGGGCAATCTGCATGGCACTTACTCACTTATTTTCACTTCAAAGCACACTCTGTGACTCTCGATCAAGTTATCTCCAATGGAGGCACGCTCAAGAAGAGGGCACTGTATGATATGTTCACCCCTTGCCGAGCACTGAAAGATGTGGAGCTCTTGAACGCACTGAAAGCTTAATTCAATTATTGATCATGTTTTAGCCTTCAGTACTGGATAGATATGTCTTCTTTGTCATGACGCTGTAAGTGAGATACATATATTAGTAATTACTAAACTATAATGAAATATACTAAATACAATCTGGGCCATCAGTGAAACATTTCATAAAACAGAATAATAACTCCAGCCTTCTGTCTTATTATTATTATAGTCAGATTATATTTATTCTTCTCTATAATTGCTATTACAACTTTCATTCTCTAACACCTGTCACAAGTTAAACATTTGTCCCTTTTGTTTTTGTAGAACTCAGATTTCTATTGTATTATATTAGCCTTTTGACTGGATGTTAATTCTCCCTCTCAACCATCTAACTGGTTCAAACAGCTAAACAGTCTGTATTTTAAAATGCAAACTTAACAGTTCTATGAATTATTATGAATTATGTTCAAAATGTCGTCTTAAATATATTTTAAAGTAAAGAAATTGTTTTTAATACTCGTTGCGCTGCTGTACCGCTGATGGCGCCACTACGCCTCTGAACGGTATTTACCTACAATTTTGTACCAAACGAAGAAGACTGAAAGCGGAAGTTACGCTAAATGTTGTCATGGCGTCTCACATGTAAATGGTCGAGCTTCAAAAATCTAATACACATCTTTATTTGGAGATTTGACGGTAAGTTGCGCGACTTAAACCAAGCTAAATTGTTACCGTCTTCTTATTGCAACACAGAAAGTCTGTGAAACTGAGCGTAATGTTGTAAGTGTTTGTTTGTTGTACACTTTGTTGCAAACCTCCTGCAGCCGCTGCTAGGCAGAGCTAGCTCCTTTGCGTCATGATATTTAAGCAGTGTTTGCTTCCTGTCAACTGTAAAACATATTTCTGCTAAACTTTAATCAGTCATTAAGTTGTCAGCCGAGGATTTTGTTTCTTTGTAGCCTTACCAGCTGCTGACAGCTCTGTTTTAAAATGAATGAACACGTCGTATTGTGTTCAAAACCATTGACTGAACTTCACTTTGATGTTTTCAGGTTTTCATCATCTGGCTGCAAAACTGAACCAGGACCAAAAACAATGAGCACTCAAGTAAGCAGCACTCTCACATTGCCACGTTTTCACACATAGTTTAGTTACCTTAAGTTATCAGAAGAATTAAAACATTAACTCAAAAGTGTTTGCTTTGATTTCAGTACAGCATCCTCTTCAAGCAAGAACATGGTGAGTAATGTTATGTCTAAACAACTCTGACTGTTACCTGTGACTAACCTGCTCACTTTTTATGAATTTTATGAGCTGAGTTATTATGTTGCTTGAATTCTTATGATTTTTGTGTTCTGTTGTTGGTCGGGTTTTTAATTTGGGTTGTACTTTTGTTTATGTTTTTGCACTTGTAAAAGCACTTTGTAAACCCTTGTTTTTTGCTATACAAATAAAGTTATTATTATTATTATTTCTTCTTCATAAGCAACCCATGTTTTTACCAGAGGAAGTTGTGTTACGTATCGCTACTACAACTACTGTCTTTGTTGTTGTTTGTTGATGGTTGTTGTTAAAGATAAGATAAAGATAAGATATACTTTATTCATCCCAGCAGGGAAATGTAGGTGTTCCAGCAGCCAGCATACATACAAAACACACAACACAACACATATATACATACATATCCCACCCATACAAAAAACATGAGCCCACAATACATAGCCAGGATAAAAAAAAAAGTGGTATGGATGGTCCATGTGCATAAGTAGCTGTTACTCATAGATAACAGTACAAAATACTAGCTCTGCCAGTGCATAGTATGATAGATAAATAAATAATTATTATGAAAGCAAAAGCAGTCAAGTGCGCAAATATACAGGTGCAAAATACAGTTTGATATGCAGCTCAGGCTAAAGTTTAAAAGCGTTGACACAAATTGCTCTAAGGATAAAATTTATGACTTGTGATAAATAGGTTATCTTTTATCTTCAATACATTTCTTTTCGTTTTGTATCTATGGATTATGTTTTCCTGCTCCATGGAGCTGCTATGTGCGCCAAGTTTTCTAAAAACTTACTGAAAACTAAAACTATGTAATATAAACCGCATGTAGATATTTAAATCATTATTTCAAAAAGGAGCTGTGAACTACAGGCAGGGTACTTATGTCAGAAATTAGGTAGAATTGTAGTAAACATTATTTATTCTGTGTAATACTTTCTGGGATTTGTTGACATCACAACAAATAGAATAATTCCAGACTTATGCTGGTCATGAATTCTCATCCGCCCTGTGAATATCTTCAGAGTTTTAACTTCCGTTTGTCTCCTGTCAGCTCACGATGATGCGATCTGGACAGCAGCGTGGGGTAGAAGTGAGGCGGACGGGACAGAAACTATTGTCACTGGTTCCTTAGATGATATGGTGAAAGTCTGGAAATGGTGAGTGTTCTTTTCAGCGCTACTCCTCCTGTCAATAGAACTTAAATATTTTGGTCCCATGCACACATGCCCTCATTTTTAACTAGAGATGTACTGATTCCAATATTTATTTTCTCATAATTAAATGATATTGTTGTTGGTTATTATGTGTAAGGCTACACAAAGCTGTAGTAAACCTGGCATTGCATTGTGCTGGCTTAAAAAAAAAACATGTAGCGGTAGATTTCTACTTTTGATCTTATAGAAGGAGCAGCTTCATGTCGTCTGAATGTCCTGATGTAAACGATTTGTGGGAACTTTGCAGTTGTTCCGTCTGAACGTCTTCAAAGTGAGACTGTGCGAGTGACGTAGATCGGCGCTGTCAGTCCAATAACCAATATATAAATTAAGTCAATACCAATATTAGATCTGATCAGATGGATATTTTTTTCCACAATCACTTTTTTTTTATCATAAATAAAAGACGAAAAATAACAAAGCAAAAAATAATATGTAAATATATATATATATATATATATATATTATGATGGACAAAAGAAAGGTAGCAAACGGCATATACAAACATAAAAAATATATCATATACGATACAATTTAACAGGAAAATGTTTACGGCTTCAAAAGAGTTGATTACGCGACACAAGTTCATCATACACACTCAAAGATGAACCAACCGAGACCAAAAAGAGACAAGTGAAAAAAATTCACCCCTTTATATTTAAGTTCCAGTCCCACTTGTGACGGGTGTCATGCTGGAGGTCTTTTCACATCAAGAAGTCCTTGTTCACTCAGCTCCACTGGTTTCTATTTTTATAGACAGAGTCTGCAATAGCCCAGTTACAGCAGGCCTCACTGTGTAACCTTGTCAGCTCCACCTAAACCTTTGTGTTAAAATGTGTTTCAGTTTAGATATTTGTTTGACATGTTCACTATAAACCAAACACAACTGCAGCTACAACACTGAGGCGCATGAGCTCCACGTATGAAAAGTGTCACACTCTCAGGACTGATCTCGATGACTCAGTTTTTCTTGATTCTTTGTTGAATGTGTTACAGAAATAAACTCCATTGATTTCACATCATATTCTATGTAATAACATCCCGTAACTTTTAGTTACATCACTTAATATTCACCAGCAGGCAGAGTTTTTATGAACATCTGTTGTTGGGTTAAAAGTTGAGTTTATTTGGTGTGACACGATGGAACAATCTTGCTGCCGCTCGGCTTCTGCAGGTCAGACGAGAAGCTGGAGCTGCAGTGGACTCTGGAGGGCCACCAGCTGGGCGTGGTGTCAGTGGACATCAGTCACAACGGAGCCATCGCCGCCTCCAGCTCCCTCGACGCTCACATCCGCCTCTGGGACCTGGAGTCGGGAAAACAGATCAAGTCCATGGATGCTGGACCAGGTAAGACAGGGCCCTAAAGGGTCATTCATGTTGTTTGTTTATGAGTATGTATTGGCCGGTAGAAGAGCAGAAAAAAAATTAAGTTGAGGCTGTGATTCCTTCTCTTTCCTTTAATTCACGAGTACCTTTAACTTCTTTAATCAATTCAAGATTTCAGGTTCAGGGGACTTTATTTGTGACCGTAGGAAGATTTGTTTAGATCCAGCAAGATGGACATCCATCATGACAAACAGATTACAAAACAGATGTAACAATGAACAACACGTTAGAGAGAAGGAAAACTATTACACCAACTAAAACTTGATAAACCCTAAAAGATTATTAAAATGATAAAAGTGCTCGAGGTTCCACCGGTCAGGTTATGAGAGCGAGAAGTCTCAACCAATAAGATCAATAAAAAAAAAACACAAATAGATAATCTCTTCAGACAGGGTAGAAATATGTTTTGGACATATGGCCACAGTGATACAAAAACAAAGCTGTTTCTGGATCGCTTTGTTCTCCACCTCTGGACTACAAACCTGACCAGGTAGCTGACAGTAACTGTCCACTTCCAGTCAGCATGTTTGTCTTTCTACTGTAAGTACTGTTACCTAAAGATAGATTGATTAACAGAAACCTAAGCAGCGAGTTTGTGGTTATAGATGAATAAAGACGAGATGCTGTGGTGTGATGTTTTGCTTCTCATCACTGACAATTTGTAACCGCTCCTTCTGTTACATGATCAGAAAAGTAGAAATATCTTTGGATTTCAAATCCAGTATCTCTTCTTAGACTGTTAAAAAGATGTCATTTTTCAGAGTTGTCTCTCATTAAACACATTCTTAAAATAGATTGCTAAATACAGAAAATAACGAATATGAATGACCATTTCTTACAGCCTTACTGTTTATTTTTGCTATATTTAGTTGTTTAGCTATTAGATGTTGTACATGAGACTTTACAGTGGCCATGTTTTAAAGGCAAAATAAATTACATTTCTAAAAAAAAAAAAAAAATCCTAGTGCCAAAGTTAGCAAAGCTCATTTTGAAAAGCCTGTCTCCGTAACTTTAAATGAGATTAATATTTGACTCTATGAATGAGCTCTACTCTGTTCTATTGAGAGTTTATTCTCTGAATTTCACTGTCAGCCTCTCACCACTGAAAATTAGGTCACTACAAAAAAAAAAAGTCACCCAGTTTATCATGAAAAAAGACCTCCAGGGGTGACAGTCTGCCTGCTCTGCTGTGTGGCACACTGAGCTGGGTTTTATTTTTTACTCTCACCTCTCAGAGACCCCACACCCACGTGCGTGCGTGCGTGCGCGTGCGTGCGTGCGTGCGTCCTGAACCAAGCTGTACTTCATCTAAATGCCATGTCAGCTTCCATTAGTGACACTCTGTTTCACACAGCGAGCGGTCTGGGTCAGGGGATGTAAGACCCTTTCTTCCCGCTTTAACTTACTGTATCTGTACTTTAGGAATATTTAGACTCTGATTCATTTAAAAGATGTTTCTTGTCTTGTTTTTATTCAAATTTGAATACTAACCATATAGTAAACATTGATTTATCATATCAGAAAGTAGGTCTGTAGTCTTTTCCAGGGGCAGTGAGAAAATAGAGTAGATTTAACACATTTAAAAAAATCTATAAGTCTGATAACAAAAACGTATTGTAGACAGCTGGTTAAATGAACATTTCCTAAATACAATCCATAAGTTGCTTTGTGTTAACCTTCCCTCTGCCTGCTCTCTCCCTCCAGTCGACGCTTGGTCGGTCGCCTTCTCCCCGGACTCCAAACACATCGCCACAGGAAGCCATCACGGCAAGGTCAACATCTTTGGTGTGGAAAGCGGCAAGAAGGAATATTCCCTGGACACCCGAGGAAAATTCATCCTCAGTATAGCTTACGTAAGGAAGCATACATTGTCATTCTGGTCAGCTCGGTGGGAACTTGACAAGCTCTGAGTCTCTGCAGCTCTGACAGCTCACTGCCTTGACATTCTCATTTCAAGAGTTTCTCTCGTTTAGTCGCACTATACTTTCTCTCCTGGTCCAACTGAAACCTTACACATGCAGAAGTGTAGACTTACCTGGTGTTGTGCCTTTACCTTTTGGAACTTGCATTCCTAATCAGTGTTTTTCCTCCTTTTTTGCACTGCAGAGCCCTGACGGTAAATATTTGGCCAGTGGAGCTATCGATGGAATCATTAACATCTTTGACATCGCCACAGGGAAGCTGCTCCACACACTGGAAGGTGACTTTAATCATTCGTACTCTTCGTTGAGGTTGTAAGCGATGCATGCAGGAGTTGGCAGTAGCTCAGTCTGTAGGAACCTGGGTTGGGTCGGGTCAGACCATAATATGGAAGTATGTCTGGTCGCTGGAGAGGTGCCAGGGCACTTCTTGAGCACAGCCGATGTGCCCTTGAGCGAGGCACCAAACTCCCAACTGCTCTGTCGTGATCCCTGGGTAGCAGTGTGTATCAGCCCCGCTAATGCATGTCCACAAGTCCTGTTGGTGCATGTGTGTGAGAAGCATGTCCCTAAATAACAGTGTAAACCAGAATTTCCTTTAGGGATTAATAAAGTATGTAAAAATAGAAGAAGAAAAAAAAGCATTTTGATGAATGTATTCAGCTTTTTTATCCATTATACATTTCTTAGGCCAAATATAAATCATGTTAGGAACAAAAGGTAAATATGTCTACAACACATAAGAATTAAAAATGTTGCTGTCAAATAATAATTTCAGCAGGGCGTACAATATACACACATTGTAGGTGAATTATACACACATGGGTTTGGTATAAAGGATGGAGAGGAGATTTGAGCTTATTGATTAAGATAGAGTATCCTAAAGCTGCAGCCATGATGTTCAGACTAAGTGATTGCCTTCTCTCTCTCTCTCTTCAGGTCATGCCATGCCCATCAGATCTCTCACCTTCTCCCCCGACTCCCAGCTGCTTGTCACCGCCTCTGACGACGGTTACATCAAAATATACGATGTGTGAGTTCAGCCAAGAGTTTGTAGAAAAACTCCGGTCCATTGCATTTGATTGTTTGAATATGTGTATAAAAAAAGGAACACATAAATTGAAACACACACACCTATTCAATGATTTGTTTGTCCTTGTCTTTTAGGCAACATGCTAACCTGGCTGGCACCCTGAGTGGACATGGATCCTGGGTTCTTAACGTCTCCTTCTCCCCAGATAACACCCACTTTGTCTCAAGGTAAGGTTAAACGGCAAAAACATGTTCAGGTGGATTCATAGAAAGAAATCATCCTGCCAGATTTGTTTCTGTGCTGATGAAGATAGAGGAAGATGTACTTATAATATAATAATAATAATAATAATAATAATAATATAATTATAATAATCTCCAAGGGGAAATTACATTGATTCACTCTGCTGTTTAGATGGTACACACACATGCACAAACAGGATCTTGTGGTCATGCACTAATGAAGGGATGTCAGAGTGAGGGGGCTGCACACAGGAGCCCAAGCAGTTGAGGGTTTGATGCCACGCTCAAGGGCACCTCTGCAGTAGTCAGGAAGTAAACTTGCAGCACTCCAGCAACCAGCCCAAATTCAAGTCTTGATTTATACCGGGATTTGAACTAACAACCTCCAGTTTCCAACTCAGGTCCCTACAGACTGAACTACTGTCGCCCTTCAAATATTATAACAGATTTACACTTGAAGCAGTCTGTGCTGTTAAAATAAATCTGCTCTGAACTGCACATTTGAGAGCTGGGCATGCTGTTCCTCTGTCTGCTTTCCCATGCCGACACTAATGGTGTGTGAAGCAGTCGTCAGCTTGAGCTGCTTTTTCAGACAAAGTTTCCAGCTCCCAGTGCCAAGATAAGCCTGAGCAGGTCAGCCAGACAACACAACGTCTGATTAAGAAGAGCTGTACAACACATCTGATGTTCTCTGTCTCTGTCCTCTGCTGCCCCTACAGCTCGTCGGACAAGAGTGTGAAGGTGTGGGACGCCAGCTCCAGAGCCTGCATCAACACTTTCTTCGACCATCAGGACCAGGTGACAAAGTTAACCCCGAATCATCCTCGTTTAAGTGTTTATAATCCGATCCGAAGTGAGAAAAGACGTCGGCTGAAGGTGCTGATGTGTTATAGTGGGAAATCAATACGTCCAATGTCTCTCACATGACCCGTCTCTGGTGTTTCAGCTCGGGCTAAAGCAATAATCCCAGCTGTCATTAGATCTCCGGTTGCAGGCGCCTGTAGGGAGGCTGATCTTTTTCTCCTGCAAAGCCTCTAATTGAAAGCAAGGCTCCTCAGAGAAGGAGATCAGAGGCGGTCGACTCTCCCATAGTCTTTGTGTTTCTCATCATGAAACGACTGCAAAGCCAGGAAACCTACAGGGACATTCAGCATCCAATGACTCTCTCTCTTCATCTTTTACTTGATCACACCGTTAAAGGTTTTCTTAGCCAAGGCTTGAACTAATCATACATTTTATCATCTGTTAATTTGCTTCTTTTTTTTTTTTTTACGATTATTCCTTTAGTTTGAATAATCTCAACAAGTTTTGAAAATGCTCGTCACAATCACTAACTTTTTGAAGTGTTCAGTGTTGAGTGCATGTGATCCAGATTGTTGTAAAATCAATGAGTTATCATGCTGAACAAACGTTATCTCAATATCAATCAAGTTAATCCTGATTATGATTTTTGCCATTATCAAGCAGCCCTACTCCAGCAACACAACATCAACTTTATTAACTTTATTAACTTTATTAGACCAACGTCAGGGTCCTCGATTGTAATTTGGAATAGAAATTTTTCATCCTCTCCGTCTCCTCTCTCAGGTGTGGAGCGTGAAGTACAACAGCAACGGCTCAAAGATCATCTCGGCTGGAGACGACCGCGCCATCCACATCTACGACTGTCCCATGTGATGGAGCAGGCTACAAGAGGATCCACGCTTTAGAGCTGCTGAGTCAGATCGTGCAGTTGAAGTTAATGATCAGAGGGTGGGAGGGGTTAAAAATGTAAATGTGGTAGATTTTTTGCACCTGGCCCAGAAAGGTCAAATAAAGGGGTTGTTTTTTTTAACTTTTGTGTCATCGTATTTCTTCGTGGGACAGGATTGTGTTTAATATAATTATAATTAAGATGACATTTTTAAGTATTTGGCTTTATATTGAGTGATAAAAGATAAATGAATTATTCACTTTTTAACATTTTTTTTTACTCACTTAATTACCAAAAAAAAACTTTGTTCATTATTTTAGGTATATTTTTTGCATTTATTAAAGAACAGCTGAAGAAAGACAGGAAATGTGAGAAGAGAGGAAGTGAGGTAGACCTGCAGCCCAGCTGGGAGTGGAACCTGCGTCCGATGCATCAAAGATATCAGCCTCTTGGGGATGCCTGCTCAGGCTGAGCTAAAGATTGGTTTGTTGTTTTTGTAAATTAGTCAAAGTAGAACAATGTGGGAGCTCCAATAGATTAGCAGTTATGTTGTTTGCCCCATGTGCGGAAGGCTATAGTCCTCCTCGTAGCAACTATTGGTTCGAATCCGATCTCGGCCCCTTGCGCTCTCCTCCCAACAGTTTGTCTCCCTTCAACTGTCCTATCCAACAAAGGCAAAAATGGCCCTAGAAATAACTTTAAAAAAAGTAGAACAAAGTAATTGTTATTCAGTTTATGTCGTCTCCGTATGTATTAACATGAGGGATCAGACTGCAGGAGAGAAGCATGATCAGGTGCTCCCTCAAGAGGGCGAGCATGTGTACTGCAGCCTAAGAATACTGATGTTTCTTCAATAACCGACCTCTGCATTAATTCAGAATTCTTTATTACGTGTCAAAGGTCCACAAGTTTAAAACACATCAAACTGTACTTTTTTTTTTTTTTATACAATCCTCTGATATATATCACACACAGCAGGTAGTCTGTAAATAAGATGTAGAATCTCCTCCATACAGGCATAAGTCCATGTTTTTCAGTTCCTGGAGGAAATGCTGAGTCCAAGGTTCTTCTTGAACATTTATGCTGTTTGAAAAAAGAAGAAACCTCACTGAGGTGGGTTTCCTAGCAGTACGGATTTCTAAATATGGCTGACTGCTCCAGCTGTATTCCATGGCTATATCACAGTGGCCTGCACCTCTCACTCATTCAGAGACAGATGAAACCTGAAGGCCACTTAGGAGTTTTATTATTCCAGCTGGTGTGAAGCTGCTGCATGAGTCTCCCTCTGTGTCTTCACTTTGAAACAAACGGCAGAATGGCAGATTTTTTTTTACACCTGTCCCAGGGTTTCAGGGCTGCAAGTGTTCACCGCTTATGCTACAACGCCTGTTATCTTTAAAGATCCAGGTTGTTGTTTTTTGCAATCCCCTCGACAAACAGAAATTAAAACAAGCAGAATCCCCTAACTGATTGATAGGGGATTAAGCCCGATCAGTTTATCTATGTGCAGAATTCATCATTACATCTCTAGCACTGACTTGACAGACGGCTGGAAATAAATCACAAACACGGCTACTTAGATTACAGAAAGGCTTTAGAGCCATTTACATAAACTTGAACCTGGTTTCACAAACACCCCATTGGCTAAATGTTATGTTTCTAGTCCTGTAAGTGAACAGAACATCAAACAAAGTTTGAAATACACCTCTTTTTGTAGTCTCTTAATTATCACACATTCAGATATACTCATATTTTCTGCACAATTTCCACTGCATTGTTTTCATTCAATAACAAATCTCATTCTTTGTTGATTTGAGTCTAAAGAGAGTTTTTTTTCCCCATTGGAATGCAGAAAGATTTCAAGATTTTCCACTCTTGATGTGCTCAATAGGACAAATAAGGTATTTGTATCTCCAGATTATGGCACATTGAAAACTCACTCAAGGATACACAAATTTAGGCAACCAGGATGCAGTTAAAGTATGACTTTGTAAAAAAACAACAACCAATACCTATTAAAAATCAAGGAGTTAGAAATGACACTGACAGTCATCTCTTGTTCTTTAACTTTAGTATATGAGGCAGTGATCCCAAAAGGGCCTTGATTGATTACATTCCTGTAAGAAGAAACGATTTTCCTAATAAAGTTTAAGAAGATTTTATATCTCTGTGTTTCACAGTAACCCCTTTGAAGAAAAGGCATGAATAAAAAGGCTAGGTGGTAACCCTTCAGGGTACCTAAAAACAAACATCAACATTCGAACTCTGCTGCATCACATCTGTATTTAAAATATCCCAAAGTCATGTAGAAGCAGCTACACGTCTGAGCAGTTACCCCGAGAACACACTCAAATCCGAGTTTCCTTCCTGCCTTTGTTGAGGTGAATTCTTCTTCCCCTCTGGTCTCTTCACCAGTGTCTAGTCTCTATCAGGTCAGCTCGTAGGCTCAGTCTCTTCAGAGTCTCGTATCCCACCACGATGAGCACTGACGTGGGCATGGAGGCGATGATGCGGGCCGACAGCCCCTTGGACATCCCCCAGACGCCCTCCTCAGCCAGCAGCTGCTTAAACGTCTCGATTACAGACGATCGTCCCTCCACCTGAAACACACAAGAGGTTGTTTGCAAATACATTTCATGATGGGATTAAAAATGCCTTAAAGCTCCTGGGACGACTTTTTAGCTTGTTATGAAACAGACCGAAATGAATGAAGGCCAATATATGGCCGAGAAAAACAAGAGACTATCAGCGTAAAGATGTGGCTCCTTTCCTGCATGTCATAACCCGTTCTCTCTCCCTGATTTCCAATTCTATCCACTGACTTTTATCTACAATAAAGGCAAAAAAGCCCAAAAATAAATCTTATAAAAGAACATACATTGAAACTGATTAAAACCAGCAGAATCTACAAAGTCATCAGCTCAACATGTCTGTGGGCTGTCCAACCAGCCTGACGTTGCACCACAACCAGGAGCACATTGAGAAAGTATTGTGTAATGTCGTTATAGAGGAAGCGCAGAGAAAAGGAGATGACTGCAACTGTATTTGGTGTTTAAAGACCTCTGCACTGAGAGACTAATTTTTGGGGAAAATCAGAGGCAAGCATCGATTCAAAATTGAAATCCTTGTAAGGGGGCATTATTTAAATGCTTTTCTACGTGATGTTGTTTTTACTCCAACCATCTGCTGGACGATACACACTTTGAAGCAAGATCCACAATTTGACCTCCACATGAAGGCTGAACATATGAACCCTATATTTAGACAGGGGTTAAGGCTTATTGATTTATTTAATGTTTATTTGTATAGGGTACAAGTATGGAGCTTGTAAATTGATGCCACACACTACTACAATTCTTTCTTCCAAAATAAAAAGCTAAAAACATGAACCTGACAAGTCAACATTTAACAGCTTCTGGTAAAAAAAAAAAGAAAAAGAAAAAACCTCAAAAAAATGTAATCTTCTCAGCTTTTATGTGTTGCACAACTGTGGCGTTCAGTGTCTACCTGCACTCTTGCTCGGACAACATCCATAGGGTTGGTGATGGTGGAGGCGGTTGCCGCGGCCATTGGTCCTGCCAAAGCCTGCAGCATCAGATGGGGGCACTCACTGGGTGCCAACAAGGACAGCTGCTCTGGGAACATAAAGGATACAAAAAGAATGTTTTATTAATGTTGCCATTTCTCCAAAAGCCGGTACATGTGTTGCAGTTTTCTACAAAAACAAAAAAAGAGGAACGTGGAAGAGGAAGTAACAATAAAGCAGAAGTAACCACATGTTGACTTACCTGCATAGAAGTGATAAAAAGGCCACCAGAGAGCACTGTTTGGGATGTACGTGAGCAGAGATGCCACATAGCCTCGGTAAAATCCTTTGAAGCCATCAGCTGCGAATATCTGCACCGTTATTTCCCGGGTTTGCCCAAAAGTCAGTCTGCGTTTACTTGTTGCGAGCATCATTTTGGGTTTGGCCTTAAAGCGCGTCAGGTGCTCGCCCTGTCCTTGCATCATCAGTTGCTGCGACACCACATCTATGGGCACAGTGATGGTCTGGGCCACAAGGGACGCAGCTCCTCCTGCCACCACCGACTTCACCGTGTTACTGGGCGAGTACTGGGACACGTACTTGCGCACCAGTTCATAGGTGGTGATATAAGCCTGTCCGGAAACCAGCGTGAATGTGTTGACCATAAAACCACGGTACAGGCCTTGCACACCCTCAGCTCGAAGGATCTTGAAGAAAGCATCAATGGTACCGGAGTAGAGGGCCTTCCCCTTCTGCACCTGGAGCCTAGTGCGGATGAGGCTGGCCGGGTAGACGGTGACTCTGGTGGTCAAGGTCATGAACACACCCAGGGAGTAGAACTTCCTCTTGTCCAGGTCCTCCCATTCTATGATTTGGATCGCACCTTTCTGCTGCATGGTACCAGCTGGGCGAGCACTGCAGCTCTAAAGCCTCGTACCTGAAGTTATTAACACGCCCTCTGCCATCACTCCTGAAAACAAGAACATTCAGCATCAGTACAGCAGTGCGATAACACATTAAAACTATCTGGGTTCGCTCAAATATACATTAATTCACCTTTTCATTCAAAATATGAGCCGTCTGATGACGAGTCATTTCTAGACCAGACTACACACTGTATCACAAATCTGTGCGACACTGCAGCGTCACAGTGTATCAAAACAAGGCTTAAGTATAATAAACAAGATGAACTGGGCTACAACTAATGACATTTCCATTATTATCCACATTTGTTTTAACTTCATTATTTTTGTATTCAGTATGTCTGATTATAGCAAAATGCTATTGTTGACATCTGAAAATAGTTTGTTTACTCTGAGCACCTGAAAAAAAAAAAACATATTCATTTAGTTAGTAATTATATTAAACACACACAAACCAACAGAGCCTCACATTGGAAAATAAATCTCAAATCAAATCTCATCTCAAAACACATCTTTTTAAACTGGCATAGTCAGTCTGATCATTCTCCACCCGTTCTCATAACTCCATTACATCCTGTACATTTGGGTTTTTTAATGTTAATTTTATCGTTGCGTTGTTACCTTGTTGTTGTTGTTTTTTTTATCTCTGCTCTGTAAGGTGACCTTGAGAGTTTTGAAAGGCGCCTTTAAAT